TCGCGCTCGTGCCCGCGCTGGGCTCGTCTCGACTCGCCCTGGGTTTCCTGGTTGGAAAGTGGGGCCGGGCCCGGCACTGGGTGCCCGTCCCCCCCGGAGTTGGGGGGTGCTGGGGGGGGCCCCACCGGTTTCCTCCCCTCGGGCAGGACGGGAAGAGGACAACGGTGGAAGGGAAACGGCTCCTCTGGAGGGTCCTGCCGCAGGAAGGGCCTTGCCGGGATCTGCCGGATCCAGCATCGCTTCCCCTGGCAGGGGGATGGGACCCCCACAATGGGGGGGCCCCACGGGAGCTGCGCTGCCCTGGCTCCTGCCCCCCTTCCCAAGGAGCCCCGTGGGGGTCTCCGTGCCCATGGGTGCAACCCAAGCCCTGCCAGCTCCAGGGGGAAGAAGAACGGGAGATGCCGACAGCGGCGGGAAGCGGATGGGCAGGGAACGTGGGGAAGGGTCCCCCAGTCACCCCCCAAACCCAGGAGGATGGACGGGCAGGGAGGCCAGAGGACAGGCAGCAATCCTGCCCCCCAACCCGCCTCCCCCGGGGGCGGGCAGCATCAGGTGGGACGTGGGAGAATCAAACCCCGGCGACGGTTTCGCTCGTTCTTTAAATAAACTTTTAATCCGTTTTGCTTGGGGAGGAGGGGAGAGGAGAATAAAATTTCTTCCCGAGGTTAAAAGCAGCAGGTGGGGAGGAGCAGCCTGGCCGGGCCCTCCCTGCTCTGCCCGGAGGCCACGGGGATGGGTGGGCTCCGGGTGGGCTCCGGGTGGGAGATGCTCGCCCGGCTCTGGCGCCCGTGGGCCCTAAAGGCACAAGAAGTGTCACCTCGTCCCCTCCCCAGGTGGCTGCTGGCACCCCCCGGTGCAGGCCAGCTTGTGCAAAATCCCCAGGTAAAAAAAATACCCTTTGGTTTTTCTTCTGTTGGTGTTTTTTTTGTGGTTTTTTTTTTTAATGTGTTTTTTTTTGTTGTTGTGTTTTTGTGTGGGTTTTTTTTCCCAATATCGAACACCCTAAAAAAACTAGACCTTTCATCCACGTCAGTTTTCCCCACCCCGGAGCTGGAAATCCCGACTGACACCCTGGCAAGTCACTGGGTTTCCCACCGGGAGGGTAAGGAGAAGGTTTTGGCACCAGGAGGGCAGCTCAGAGCGTCCCCCAGCAGCACCGGTGAGTGTTGGGGACACACACAGAGAGCCCTGCAGCCCCCCCTGCTCTGCCCTGGGTGGGGCAGAGGGTCCCTGGGTGGGTGAGAGGGTCCCTGGGGGGATCAGAGGGTCCCTGGGTGGGCAGAGGGTCCCTGGGTGGGTCAGAAGGTCCCTGGGTGGGCCAGGAGCACCCACGCTGTGTGTCCCCAGGGCTGGTGCAGGGTCAG